TGCACGACAAGAGCCGCGCGCAATCAAAACCGCCCATAGGAAAGCATTACTCACCGTGAGAATCACTGAAGTGGCCTCTAGTGGCTGGATTACCCTCAGTGTAAACATAACAGTTTCTCTGAAACTGCTATGTTTTCAGCTGCAGGGTTGAAACTAGAGGGACCTGGCACCCAGACCACTTCATTGAGCTGAAGTGGTCTGGGTGCCTATAGTGGTCCTTTAACCATATGCATCTTTGGCTACATTAGTTGGTGTGATTTTTCTATTAGTGTCTTTTTATTTATATATATATATATATATATATATATATATATATATATATACACACACATTGTTCACAAATCTGTCTAAATTTGTTAGTGAGCACTTCTCCTTTGCCGAGATAATCCGTCCACCTCACAGGTGTGGCATATCAATATGCTAATTAGACAGCATAATTATTGCAAAGGTGTGCCTTAGGCTAGCCACAATAAAAGGCCACTCTAAAATATGCAGTTTTATCACACAGCATAATGCCACAGATGTCGCAAGTTTTGAGGGAGCATGCAATTGGCATGCTGACTGCAGGAATGTCCACCAGAGCTGTTTAGCCATGAATTGAATGTTCGTTTCCCTACCATAAACCGTCTGCAAAGGCGTTTCAGAGAATTTGGCAGTACATCCAAGCGGCCTCACAACCGCAGACCATGTGTAACCACACCAGCCAAGGACCTCCACATCCAGCATCTTCACCTCCAAGATTGTCTGAGACCAGCCACCCGGACAGCTGCTGCAACAATCATTTTGTATAACTAAAGAATTTCTGCAAAAACTGTCAGAAACCATCTCAGGGAAGCTCATCTGCATGCTTGTCATCCTCATCGGGGTCTCGACCTGACTGCAGTTTGTCGTAACCCACTTGAGTGGGCAAATGCTCACATTTTATGGGGTCTGGCACTTTGGAGAGGTGTTCTCTTCATGGATGAATCGTGGTTTTCACTGTACAGGCAGTGGCGTACACGCTATCCATAGGGCCCCGGTGTGAAACTGATCTGTGCCCCCCCCGACACACACACACACCCCCCTGACATACATACATGCAGAGACACACACACACACAGTCTGTGTGATACAGACACACACATACACAAATGTTTAAGTCACCCTCCTGTTTCATACTTTTTGCAGGAGGGTGACTATCCCTGGGGTCCAGTGGGGGCTCAGCCTAATGGGAGTCAGAGTTCCCACTCTGACTCCCTCCTACTTCCTCCCGCGCGGCTCTCTGATAGCTGAGAGAAGTGATCGGGGCAGTCACTTTCTCCCAGCTCTGCCTGATGTCATCACAGGGGGCCCAGTCACGCTGTTAAAGCACCCAGCATGGACGGGGCCCCCTGGAAATCCATACCCACTGGGTGGCTCTAACAGCATGGGCCACCCGATGAACCCCTTCATGTGCAGCCCCAGTCGCAGGGCAGCCGGGCCCCCTGGAGTGACTGGCCTGGTCGCAGCTGCGACCCCTGCGACCGCGGTATGTACGCCAGTGTGTACAGGGCAGATGACAGACAGCGTGTATGGCGTTGCGTGTGTAAGCGGTTTGCTGATGTCAACGTTGTGGATAGAGTGGCCCATGGTGGCAGTGGGGTTATGGACAATGACACAGGTGCATTTTATTGATGGCATTTTGAATGCATTGAGATACCATGATGAGATCCTGAGGCCCGTTGTTATGCCATTCATCTACAACCATCATCTCATGTTGCAGCATGATAATGCACGGCCCCATGTTGCAAGGATCTGTACACAATTCCTGGAAGCTGAAAACATCCCAGTTCTTGCATGGCCAGCATACTCACCGGACATGTCACCCATTGAGCATGTTTGGGATGCTAGGGATCGGCGTATACGACAGTCAATATCCAGCAGCTTCGCACAGCCATTGAAGAGGAGTGGACCAACATTCCACAGGCCACAATCAATAACCTGATCAAGTCTATGCAAAGGAGATGTGTTGCACTGCATGAGATAAATGGTGGTCACACCCAGGGCCAACCTTAGGGGTGTGTGAGCTGTGCGGCCGCACAGGGAAGCCATGGACCAGGGGGCACCATGTGGCCGACACAGCTCACACATGGCCAGGTCACAGAGGTGCAGGGGAGCTAAAACAGGTACCTGGGTGGAGGATTTCATTATTTTCCACCGGGCCTATTATAATTCTTTTTAAATCGCGGCAGCGGGGGCTGGGCTTATCGTGAGGCAGAGGCGGAGCCAATACCTACCCGAAGCCCCTGGTAACTGCTGCACAGGAAGAGGGAAGAAGTCCCTGCTTCCCCAACAACCAACTGCATCCACTCTCCCTTGGAAAGAAGTGTGTGTGTGTGTATGACTGTCTGTCTCTGTGACTGCCTGCCTGTGTGTCTGTGTGTGTGACTGTCTGTCTGACTGCCTGTGTGTGTGACTGTCTATCTGTGTGACTGCCTGCCTGTGTGTGTGACTGTCTGTCTGTGTGTCTGTTTGCCTGTGTGTGTGTGTGTGTGTGACTGTATGCCTGCGTGTGTGTGTGTGACTGTCTGTGTGACTGCCTCCCTGTGTGTGTGTGTGTGAGTGAGACTGCCTCCCTGTGTGTGTGACTCCAGTTGAGTGTGTCGCTGTAGCTGTGCCATTGTGTGTGCGACTATCTGCCTCTAACTGAGTGTGTCTATCAGCGTGCGTGAGTGTCTGCATGCCTTTAACCAAATGTATATGACTGACTGAGTGTGTGACTGTGTGCCTGTAACTGTTCGTGATTGTCTGCGTTTAACTGTGTGTTTGGCTCTGTGACTGTCTGCCTGTAACTGAGCATGTGTGACTGTCTGCCTGTAACTGTGTGTGTGTCTGCCTGTAAATGAGCGTGTCTGACTGTCTGTTTGTAACTGTTTGTGTGACTGTCTGCCTGTGTGTGTGACTGTATACAGACAACTTGGTGGGGGGGGTGGGGGAGGACCAAAGGGGGGGCGCCGTGAAGACTTTTCACACAGGGCGCCTAATGGCCTAAGGTCACACCAGATACTGACTGGAGTTCAGCTCATAGAAAATGGAGGCAAAAACAAAAGTGTTGCGTTTATAATTTTGTTCAGTGTATATCACCTCTTCAAGGTTACAAAGCAGTAAGAAACACTCAGATTTTTGTTTGATTTAACTGAGTTTATTTCAGAAGTGGTTTGGAGACACCATTCTTTTGGGAGACCGTTTCCACTTGCAGATTTTACTGTTTTCCCATAGATAAAATATCACATTTCCATTTAAAAATATTTTCTGACCTTGGAGTAGGATTTTAGGAGGCAGACATTTTGCTTTTTTTTATTATTATTATTATTTATTTTATTTTTATATTGTGTCTTATGAGCCTGTGTTTGCATTGCTTGTAACCTGGTTTGAAAATATGAGATTACTGTAATGTAACATCACAACTAAAAACCTCCATTTCAGTTTTTCAGAAAAGCAAAATGGTTGCCTCTAATGACTTATTTTAATGGTGTCTTTGTAAGATCATTGCAAGTACACACAAAATGTTGTTTACAAAGACAATACACATGATATAGAAATTGTGCACAGCTCATCCCTTTCGGTTTATAGGTTTATTAGACTTTTATACGCATTGAAATAGTGAATTGTCATAAATTGACCAGACAATTGCAAGCTTGAGGTTCTGATATCCAAGTTGCAGAATTTGACAGCACTTAGTTATGGCCTTAATTGTGGTATTTTTTTTGTCAAGTATTCGTGTTTCAATGTTCACTAAATAAACCCCTAAGTTGTGTAACGCAGATTCCTCACATCAGTGCTAGCAAACAATCTATGTTCTTTCTATCAGCCATTATGCCTTTATAACTTCTAAAGAGTCCAGTGCTATCGGGAGTGAAAACAAATTACAACTTATATCAAGCAAACAATTCGGCACGAACGACTATAGAATTCAAACACTATTGCTGGAATATTATGTTTAAAAAAAACCCACAAAAATAAAATAAAAACTAGTACATGGACAACATTGTTATTTAAAAAATATCTTTACATGTACAAAGTTTATTATAAAAACAATTAGACAAGTGTAACTATTATAAAGAGGAAAATAAAAGAAAAACAATCCCAAAATAATATGTACTTAAGACCAAACACATTACGTGCTATGTGCTTCTGCATTTATCCAGTACAGGGCTGGACAAAAGGTAGACCTCCATTATTTACTTTTTTTTAAATTAATGTATTTGTTTTTTTAGAACTACACATCCCATGATACTTCCATAGTTTTAAGGCAAACATCATAAGAACTATAATTCTACAAAAGGTGGATGTCTACCTTTTGGCCAGCCCTCTCTATTATTTTCCTGTAGGTCAGGATTTCTCAAACCAGTACTCGATGACCACAAACTGTCCACATTTTGTTTATTGAGATGGCAGTTCAAATAGGATACTGGAATACTGCTTTATACTGCTTTATTGATGGCCCACGATGGTTAATTTTATAACCATCGAGCCCAAGTCAAGAATATATCCTCCTGTTTTTTAAGTGATGTGCAATTCTGAAGACCAGAAGTATCCAGTACTGGGCCCCTAATGCTGTACACATTCCTGGATTCATGGATATCCCTGCTTAAACACAGGTCAGTTAATCAGTTTTGGTATTTTTATACAGGACCAGTTTGATCCACCTGTATTTAAACAGGTATATGTGGTTTCCAGGCCTGTGTGGCCAAATTAGAGCAGGTGAGATCAGCTTTAGGTCACGTTGTTCTACAGTCTAAGATCAACTCGATCAAGTCAACTCATTTCACAGCATAACATTATTTAAAAAGGAATAATCTTTCAACAGTGTAACTTCAGATATTTGATTGGCAAGTCTGTTCAGTTGCAATATATTGATCTACACAATCCAATTTTTTACTAATATTGAAATTCACTTAAATTTCTGATGCTATGGAGTGACACTGAGTGACAAGCAATACACAGTTTCCCCCCCGCCCCCATCCCTCTAGAGCTCATGCGGGCAATCATTGGTCACACAGTGCTTAGCTTTGACAGTAAACAGAAGCTCAAAATATATGATCTGAACAATAACGTCCCAATTACTGACAAATATAAATTATCCCACATCGCTTTGAACTGTATGCTTTTTCTGTATTTACAAGTAGTTTGGGGTGGGGTTGAAGGAGGCACAATCTCTGCCCATAATAATTATTCACGTATCATACAACGCAATTTTAGGGATCACTGGTCATCAAACACCAATGCTTCTTCTTTTTCTTTTTCCAACAAATGTTTGTTCACCTGTGAATAAGATATAAAAGAATGAAGTATGCTTTTTTTTTATGTTTTAAGAGAACATATGTGATTTTTGTATATAATACTGCCGTTTTAAATCACCTTCACCCATATTACTATTGTTAACGATCCATTGTTATGAACATATAACCTCTGTATACAAAGTAACATCTTACTTGTCCATTGTGCTAAGCAGATTATTACACACTTTGGTAATAGAGCTAAATGTCTACAAATGATGTGCATGATATTAAAGGGACACTATAGTCACTAGACCAACTACAGCTTATTGAATTTGTTCTGGTGAGTAGAATCATTACCTTTAGGCTTTTTGCTGTAAACACTGTCTTTTCAGAGAAAATGCAGTGTTTACATTAAAGCCTAGTGATAACGTCACTGGCCACGCCTCAGATGGCTGTTACAGATCCTTCCTGGGTCATGGCTGCCTAAAATGCATCCAAACATTCAGTTTCTCCTCCCTCTGCATGCAGACACTGAACGTTCCTCATAGAGATTCATTGATTCAATTCATCTCTATGAGGAGATGCTGATTGGCCAGGGCTGTGTTTGAATCATGCTGGCTCTGCCCCTGATCTGCCTCCTTGTCAGTCTCAGCCAATCCTATGGGGAAGCATTGTGATTGGATCAGGCTACCATTTCTGATGATGTCAGCAGACTGCTTTTTTTCTGAGTCGAACAGTATGCGGATCTACAGCTTCAGGCTTGAATACAGTACGATTTTTACTATATTTATGGAGGCATGAGTGGCCCAGGGGGGCTAGATGGTGGTTTTAACACTATAGGGTCAGGAATACATGTTTGTGTTCCTGACCCTATAGTGATCCTTTAAGAAGCAGCCATATTAAAGGAAGCAGTCTTTACGTAAATACATCTTTTAAGTTATATAATTGATAGTGTGTTGAACATACCTTTCTCTCCTTTCTGACCTCTCGGTCCAGGTTGTCCGGTAAAACCTTGTATTCCACGTTCACCTGTAAAAATGACATAAGGTCGCGTTCAATGTCTTTGAAATTACACGGTAGAAGAACTGGAGTAACTTTTGTTTGGTTTTAGTTTTTATATATAATGTGTATTCCAAGAAAAAGTTACAGATAGTTTAACACATGACAGTCACTCACAGAAAGGTACAGATGCACTGTTCATGCACTGGGCTTATTAGGACCACTTTTGGTACATACCTTTTGGACCTGTGAATCCTCTTTCTCCTTTCTGTCCTGGGTGCCCTGGTGGACCCTGTATGGTACCATACGCTGTATAGAGAGAAACAGTAATTAGCTATATCTCTTATTTTATCCCAAGAATTCTAACTGCAGCTTTCTTTCTTTGTGTTTTAACTTATTGCTTAATTATTGTTCATTAATTAAGATGGCGTTAAACTAACACAGGCTGTAGCTTTATAAAACAGGAACTGCTCACTTGTTTGTGAACTACATCACCCACAATCCAAGGCATGATAAACCTTAGTGTAGCTCAAAAACAGCTAATGGTCTGCAGGTTGCAACTGCTTAGGTGAGTCCCTGGCACTTTTAAACTCGGGGCTGAGCCTTTTAAGATGTTCATTCCACTATACCAGCTGGAGTATATCCAAGAGTATGGGATTGTTTATTAATTTAAAATTAATATAGAATAATAAAACTATATAAACATTGATATACAGACATTGAACTTCTATAATAATGACATAGATGTGTAATATGTGAAGATACTTATATCAAATAATTTTACTTCCCCCCCAAACTTACTTCTGAAAACTTCCATTAGATCAGTAGTTATGTTGGCATGAGTTGCATACACTTGGCAGATTCCTGGGGGCCCTGGTGGTCCTGGAGGGCCTGATCTCTGGCCATTGAAAGAGAAATCTCCCAATAAGCCTTGACCTAAACAAAAATAAGGAATTACTGTTACAAGAGTCCTATCTCTTCTTATCTACAGGAAATAAGTAATATTTATTTACTGCTCGAGAACTGATTGCATTTATGGCTGTTTGTGGCTATTATATTCCATTAGCAAAAATAAAATGATGCACCAAAGTCTCTTTAGATAACGTTTAACAAGTACAATTTTGTCTCTTGTCCTTTAAGGCACTATAGAGTTTTAGATGGGGTTCCGAAGAAAAGGATCACTTCAGCAACTTGAGGATGGAAGGAAGCAGTGATATGATATGATACCCATCATGTTTACTGGACCCTAGGCAGCTGCCTAGTAGTAGTCAAACTTCAATCGCCTTGACATATAGTTGCAAATGGGTCCCTCTTATGTCTCAGCAGCTTGGTTTCCATATTGTCTTTACCTTGTGGCATATATAAGTGCAGTGGACCCTAGCTTTTCTTTCTATTTATTAATTTTCCTGGCATTTTACTGTATCCTGCTCAAGCAATCCATAGGTGGGGATTAGTCCACCAGAGCTGTACCTACAGAGCAGTATTTTCCGCTCTATCATTGTGAGTATATTTTATTATTATTTTATTTTATCATTTCGTATTGAGAGCACTATTATTGTCTCCATATATTCTACGGACCACTATGGATACCAAGTTGGACGGACAGATCTACTGCCACCATTTATCCTTTAGCGGGGATTATACCGCTAAGTGCCCTTCATCCAAGAGCTGGTACAAAGCTCCATCAAATGTGAGTGTATTATCCTCCATTTTTCATTTTATATAAATTTCAAGTAACATACTACACTATTGGAATTTTTTCGTGTTTTTATCTTCACATATATGGACTATTCACAACCCGGACGGATCTACTCCTGAGGATTGTATACACGCTTATCCATATATCAGTTTATACATTTTACTGGACATTTTAGTATTTGATCTCTACTATTGCATGGACTTTGTTTTATCTATTTTTTTATTATTGTATGGATTCTGTTTTATTTATCATACTACATTAACATATAGTCTATATATTGTGAGATTATCCATTTTATAGCGCAGCCCTTCACCCCCTTTTTTTCTTCTCACCCTACCTGGCAGGTATATGATGATGTGGGGAAGGATTTCCCCTTACATATATATTTACACCATTGACCGATCATGATTATAAAATAACCATCCAAGCACTTACTCTGAATTTGTTCTGTTACACGAGATGCCACTTCATTATAGTCTATTGAATATGAAGAAGAAGACGATGATGATCCAGAAGAGAATGATGATCCAGAAGACAATGATGATCCAGAAGATAATGATGATGAAGAAATTACCCCACTATCTCCCTTTGCTCCTCTCAGACCCTGAGGTCCAGGTGGGCCAGGTGGTCCTGCTGGTCCTGTGATATACCTTCGAATGTTGTCACCTGAGCAGAGTAAAAACATTAATATTTCATTGCAGTCCTCAAAAATTACTTCTTCCTTTTTATTATTTTTTTACACACTAATACAAAATTACAATTGAGAAAAAAATAGTTAGATTTTCCTTACTTAGCATGTAACATGTAAAATGTATTTTCTATACATTAGAGCGGATAAAAAATATTCAGAGTGAAAGTGTGTTTACTTGTTAGATATTCCATGAGTTCAGTCCGTAATCGATCACTATGGACGTTCTCGACATAAGAGACCAGACTGCTTCCACCACCAGGGGGTCCCTGTGGTCCAGGAGGTCCTGGTGGCCCTGGAGCTCCTCGAACATATCCTACATCTGACACAACAAAAAAATAGTAATACACTTTAACTAAACCATCCAAAAGTTGTATTTCCTATAAAAGTGTATAACACGTTTGTGTTCTAAAAATATATATATATATATATTCTAGAGCTCACTGTAAATTGAAACTGCACTTTTAGTAAGATAATCTGTGTTCTAGATTTTTCCTCAATGTGTTCATGTTCTAGAGCACACACCAAGATGTACATTTTCTATGAAATCACACATGATGTTCATTATCTAGATCGCACTGTAAGAGGAACATGCATGTTGTGCATAAGATAACCATCTTTTTGACTGCTGCATAATACTTGGCATATGGAAAATACATTTTAAGTCATGAAATAAACTTCATCATGAACATATCTCACATCAAATTGATCATATGTTTTTGTTCCTAGCCTATTAAAATTCTTTATCAAAGCCCACCTATGTCCACCTTCATGATGTATGATGTACCAGGACTGTCATGATATCACAGAGTATAACTAATCCAATTCTCCATACTACCCCATTTAATAACCCTGATGAGGCTGTATCAATATACATCACAGTAAAAAATTCCCACTGACACTATACGTATGACCTAGTGTGGGGCTAGCCATAATAATTTAAATTCAATTTCTTACTTTGTAAATATGCCGCAATATCCTCGGTATCAAAACTGGTCCTGGTTGTGCCTGTATTTCCAGATGGTCCCATAGGTCCCATAGGTCCTTGAGGGCCAGGGGAGCCATGGCGACCTGGTGTTCCTGGACGGCCTGGTTGTCCTGGTGGTCCTGGGGGTCCAACAACTCCTCTGAACTCAGATGCTGATTTAAGGTAGAGATGTGAAAATTATGAGTATCCTAGCATTCAGTGAGGATAATTTGGATATTAATGTAATGGGACCCATTATCTGGTGGCATTTACAAATCAAATAAGAACATTGTTTATTACAACTCATTCACCAGATCTTAGGTGGGCTTCTTAGTTTATGTCAAAGAACCCAGTGTATTTGAAGTGTTCTATATCTGATTTTTTTTTTTTTTTTTTTTTTAACGTTTAAAAATTTACATGTCATATTAAGAGATTTCAATATAGAACAAGTTCCGGCATCAACTGCCTCTTCATTCTTTTATTGTAATCTATAAACCATGATGCAGATGTTACAATAACGTATCTTTTACTATTCAACCCTGACACCCAACCAACCTCAACAAATAGTTATTCTGTGCACTCAAAACTTTTGTGTGATTCGATAACATCATATTTACAAAATCTTGGTCAGAGTATCTGAAATTTTATTCTTACCTTGAAGCAAAGCTGTAATATCTCCATAGCCAGATCCAGGTAGTCCTGGAGGCCCTGGTGGGCCTGGAGGTCCCTGAAGGCCAAGTTGCATTCCAGAACCTAGAACAGATAGACATGGACATTGAGTAAGTAAACTCCAAGTGAAATAACAGCATTTGTAGAACCATTCTTGAACTTTTTTTTAAGAAGCAAAGTAATATCTTTTTTGATAAGTGGATGTGTTTTGCTAGTTTTGAGGTTAAAAATTGAATCATTAAATAAATGTGTCTTATCTTTTTCTTTGAATAAAATGTGGCTTCATTTTTAATGGTTGAGGCCAGTGGACAGCCCAAAACTTAGGTTTTATCCAATTTTCTTCAAAGAATAATGTAACTGAAACCTTGATTTTAGATGTTCCTTGAGAAATAGGCAGAAAACCTTTCAGGCAGTCAACTGTAAGAGTGTCCTAACAGAATGGAAAATATAACACACTGACTAATGCCTAATTGTAGTGATGACATGCTTGTTTTCAGTGGCAAAAACTTACTTTTCAACATGGACAGAATTTCATCGTAAGAGACTGCTGGGCCTACAAATCCTGCCTGCCCAAACTCTGCAGAAGTAAATCCAGAACCTACAAAACAGAAATGTTTAATAAATTACTCCATACTGCCATATTCTGGCAATGTTTGTAAAAACAATAATCACTTAAAGGAACATAAAAAAAAAATTGTAAAAAATTAAATCTGCAGGATAAATAACGTTTTAAGTGGCAGTATGACATGAAGATCAGATCCCTAAACGTAGCCTTTTAATATTGTTTAAAGGATTGTTTAGCTCCATTCCCTATGAATATGTAATTTAAATCAATATGAATTCTCAGTCTTGTCCGATACCTTTTCAAGTGATCTCATAGTAGTTCAATTTCTTTTTTTTGGTTGGCAATATAAAATAAAATAAAAAACATTAGCACCATACCTCTTAAGTAGCTCATGACACGACTTGCCAACTCTGCATAATCCAATTCCTGTCCGCTGTCTCCCTTTGGTCCAGGGGGTCCTTGAGGTCCAACCAAATAATTTCTGACATTTTCACCTTAACAACAGATGAATAAGGTGCGTTAATTAGAGAATACTAATTATGTTACTGATATGAAGCCGTGGCACCCACCATGTTAGTAAGATAGGTAAAAAAGTTTGTATCATTTGGACGGTGTGAAGAATCTATATGTTAAAGACCTCCCATTCTTTCTGGTTAAAGCAGTGGTGTTCCCAGTACTGGGATTACTTCTGTTAATGAGATATTACCCTCATTAGCTGCTCTCGATGCGGAGTAGCTACTCTCATCCCTCGGACTCCAGTGCTTCGTTATGTCTGCATTTTGTGGCAGGCCAATAGCAGAGTCTGATCAAAGGGAGATGGGACTATAATAAGCAGCTGTGAAGGGCAACACCTTTTTTAAAGGTGGTACACCCACCATTCATATTCAGAAAGGTAAGTTCTTTAACATATAAACATTTCAGAACGTTCCATTTAGAAAAAGTGTCTGCTAAGAAAACCATGATCTAGTACCAACATACATCAATGAAAAAAAAATGTTTTTAACTAAACCTAAATACAATGCTCTGCTGCTTAACCACACTCTAAAAATGAGAAACCCAATGTTGAAATAATGTAATACTGATAATGCGCTTACTCTGGAGATATTGGGTAATGTACTGTTGGACTTCTTCTGCACCACGTCCAGAGTTACCAGGTTGTCCGGGAGGCCCGGGAGGTCCTTGTGGTCCAGGAGGTCCAGGTGGACCAGGGCTACCTTGTCCAGGTCTTCCACCTCCTGCTGGGCCTACAGGACAAAAACAATATATTTAGAACCATGTAATTGACTGTATCTGTGCTTGAAATTGTTACACATGCACATGCTGGCACACAAAATATCCAAAGCATGATTGCAAGATAATAATAATCATAATATTTAACCAATAAGGTACGTTTATCTTTCACAAGTTTGCAAGTATGGTCTGGGTTCTAGGTTATATTACCAATTTAATGATACTCATATTATTTATTTCTTTAAAGAAAAGACGTGAATCTTACAGTATTATTGGCGTAGAAAGGTTTGGAAACCTTATTACGAGCATTAGTCTTTGGCACATTAGCCTGGTTAAATGATGTGCATTGTAGGCCAAGATGATAATAACATTAATATGTTTTTAAAACTATTTATTCATAATGTGTACATTTATTTTCCACTAGTTTTCAAGTACGTCTTCAGGTTTCACTGCTAATAATACCAAGCTTAATACACTCATTGTATTGACCTTGGAACATTGAAAGTATGGGTTGAGCGAGCCGGGGAACAAACCTGCATCTCTCCAGATACGGAGGTATCTCACTAGCAATTTGTAAGGTGATATAACTGTATTCTTAACATAAAATGTATACCACAAAACATAACCAAATTGCATTACCAAAGCAAGAACTTTGTTCTGACTTAAGCATTAATATTTTATTAATAAATAAAACGAATGTTCGCCTTACCTCGTGAGCTTCCTGGGATTCCGGGAGCACCTGGGATGCCAGCTTCACCTGCAAGTATCATAATGAAAATTACTGACCATATAAGCCATTATTTCCTTATTGTAAATTATGAAAGAAGGCAAAAAAAGATCAATGGACCACTCTCCTCCAGAGCACATAGAAAGTGAAAGCTATAGCATATTTTGACATATTTGAGTGTGTAAGCTCAATCGAGGGGCCAAACTGAATTAGTAGTATTTTTGATATTTTATAGTAAATATTTAGCTAGGTATCATTTCTTGTGTCTTTGCTGTATATGAATATAAAAATATATTTGAAATTATAGGTTTTGGATTATAGACTGAGGAGTTGGGATTTTTAACTGTAAGTTTTCATAACCTGTATTTAGGACCCACCGGTTATCTAGGATTTATGGATCAGCAAGTTCTGTTCCAGTTTATATATAAATAAAACTTGGATAGTTTTTTGTCTCTGAAAACAACAGTTTATGAGCCCAGCTTCAACGCTTATCTTTGCCAGTTCTTTTCCACATATTACAGTTCCTTACCTCTCTCTCCTGGTGGTCCTGGTGATCCTGGTTGTCCTGGTGAGCCAGGTGAGCCTGGTGAGCCTGGTGAACCTGGAGGTCCAACCGATGCAGGTCCTTTAGGGAAAAGTTAAAGAATAGTTTTAAAGCCTCTGTTATTTGAGATGTAAGATTTGTGCAGTAGAGGGAATATTTTCTGTTGAAACTGACCATCACGTCCTGGTCCTCCTGGAAGTCCTGGTTGGCCGGGATCACCTGGTTGACCTGTATTAGAAAAACAATATTGGTTATGTTAAAACTGTCCAATCCAAATCTCGAGTCCAAATCCAGATTTCTACCTTGATTTGTTTATACTGGTTGCCTAAATCACATTACGTTAGTAGCTCAAATATGTAATTAGTGTTTTTAATTTGGTAAAAGGACCTCATAAGTAGTGTCATAAAAAGAAAGTTTTCTAAAACAAAAACTATACTCAAGGTGGGAGTATAATGGTCCTGCACATTCTAGAGAACTTTCAAACTTTAAAGGTAATTTCACTGTCCATAGACATTCAGCTTAATAGGATAATGTGTAGAACATTGATGAATTTAGAGTTGAGATACTCCATCTACTCTTGATACGCAATGTGTTGTCTAGCTATACAGTGAAATTTAATTTATTTTGTTATTATGTCATGCTTCATGTATTTATACTCATTTGCGCAGGAAAAATTAATGTACTGGCAAATTGCAGTAAGTTAATAAATGTAAACTGTGTCAAGGATTCTCATGAAATAATTCTGTATTTACCTGGTTGTCCTGGCTGGCCTCTTTGACCTGGATCACCTATTGGAAAATTACAAATATCAATAAGTATTCTACACAACAGCATACCAAACAGATCTATAGATGTTGAGTCTTTCATTTTAGCTCTTTGTTACAGACATTTGTTCGTCTGGATATTTTACCTGGATCTCCTTTAGTTCCTGGGACACCTGGAGGACCTGGTGGTCCAGAAACGATGGTTTCTGTAAAAATGAAACAATATTAAATGGATTGATTTTGGTTGCTATGGGATACTCAGGCTATCAGAAAATGTATATTTACCTGATGCGGCAACAGAAGATCCTGGTGGACCTGCAGGGCCTGGTGGCCCGGGGGGACCTGCTGTGCCAGGAGTTCCATTGACGCCTGGTTTGGAATCTCCTGATCAACAAAAAGACAAGGGAGATTTTAGCATCTTGTTTTATATGTCTTAATCAGCTTTAATTCTGACCATGCTGATCAGAAAGGAACATTATTACAATCATCATTTATGCCCCACCTGGTGGGCCTTGTGGACCAGCTGGGCCTGCAGGACCTGCAGGACCTTGTGGGCCTTGTGGACCGGCTTGTCCTGGTGGTCCTTGAATTGAGTTTCCTGTAAGAAAAAAAAATATATAGAGAGATGCTAAAGAGAGATAAGAGATGCTAAAATGTAAAAACATACACCGTTTGCATACCTTCAGCATTTTCCTTTTAAAATATACACTACAAGATCCTAAACTACCAAAGAATTTCCATGAGGTAAATGTGTGGATGTAGAATGAATGGGTGACAGGAAATTGTGGAATATTGTCACAATTAAATGATTGATGAAACATTGAGGCTTCTTCACTCAAGTGTAAATTGCAGTGACTTGAAAACCGAATTGCAAAAATGTAGGCCACAATAACTGATTTGGTAAAAAAAAAAAAAATATCTACTAAAGTCACAGCATGTCTATGTTAACCCAAAGTTGGCAATTCTCAACAGTTATTGGTTTACTGAATAAACTCCATTGGAAGAAGGCATAGGATAAGTTTATTTTAAACAGAGTGTTTTACCAATGCCAGTTGATTTTCTTTCCTTTACGTCACTTGCGTGTGATTGTAGGAATATTGTTATTGCTCTAGATACAGTGAGAATGGAGAACCAAACTCTACATAGAAATTATGTATCCTTGTACAGCAGCTGAAAGACCTGATGCAAAGCATTCAGATGGTACACTTAGGACATCGAGGTATGAAAGCCTTTGGGTTCTATGGGGTGAGACCGGCATTCTTTGGCTATTTAGAGAGTTGAATGCACAAAGCTTAAGTTCTACTAATCTAGAATGGTATGTGGGTTCTTATTTGCCTCTCGATATGGTTTACAGCTCACCTCCTTTAAATTCTCAGGCCAGAAAATTATCATGACACTCAGCAAAAAAGAAGATTTATAACTCAAAATAATAATGACTACGTCAAGATTTTAAAAAAATGTGATCTTTACAAAGTGCTTCTTGGGTTCCATGTCCATCTTTGGAAATTCAATTTCCCTATTTACTCTCCATGTGCTCTCTCCTTTGCCTATTGTTTTTAAGAAGGTTGGGACATTCATATCAGTTGTGTAACAGTGGTACTTGGATTTTGTGGGTTTTATCGCTTACCTGCCACTCCTTGGGGACCTGGTGGTCCAGGTTGTCCAGGTGGGCCAGGGGGTCCAGGTATACTTTGTGCTGCGAAGGTATCTGAAAGGAATGAAAACACATTAATATATACATATACAATAAATGCATATCATTGCAATTCTGATGAATGTAAAGATGATGAAATGTACTGATTGATAATAAAATTAGTTATTAAAAAGATAAAATAAATTAATTTGCTGAAATAAGATGATGAAGTAGTGTACGATGTAAGGAGAGTTTATCATGATCTCAAAATAAAATTACCTAATGAGGTGAGAAAACACACGTGTCTTAAAGCTTTTGAGTATTTAAAATAAATGTTTATTATTGCAAAACCATGTGTGTTAATCAAAGACTTACTTTCTGGTCTGGAATAAGTGATCCCTGGTTCACCAGGATCTCCGCGTGCTCCTTTTGTGCCTAAAAATCGAAAGCATGAAGTAAGAGATGAGATCATCGAACAAATATTTATCACTATGAAAATTCAGGTAAATTCCTCTTTAAAAAAATTATGACTTACCTGGCTGTCCTGGAATTCCAGATGGTCCAACTGGACCTGGATTTAAAACATAATTGATCCAAATGAAACAAAATATTCTCATAAACTATATATCAGAATCCTGAATTGTTAGACAAAGTTAAACGCTTATCAGTTTCACTTTTGAATGTGAATATTCCAATTACTAAATTAATGTTTTAGTTTACAGTCACTGAACCACAGTGTGAAGAGTTTGAAATCATTTTTGGAGACAGAGATCTTTTTTTGCAGAGAAAATTATCTGTGATGTGCTTGTTTGCCATGAGATGCTTCTCATTTTACCCTATACATTATATAATGCACTGAGATACACACAGACATGTCTACATACCTGGAACACCAGGTGATCCTGATGGGCCAACGGGTCCTGGAGGTCCAGGAGGTCCAGGAAGAGCATAACTACCACCGTCTAAAATAACAAAAAGAAAAATTATCACAACTGCACTGGTTTTATGTAACTACATTAAAGAAAAGTACTATGACTGTGTAGAAATGATAGATGACTGTCCACCTTATATCATAAGCTCAAGTGGCTTAACTGGCACATGGATAAAAAAAAAAAAAGGAAAAGATAACTATTGGGAGAAGAGTATAATTAGCAGCAAGATCGAATAACCAGCTTGTAATATGGATAATTATGGTTACATTATGCAGAGCATGTGTGGTCCGTTGGTATGGTGTCGGATTATAAGCTCTTTTCAATAAGAAGAAGAACGCCTAACATTAAAAGATATTTCTATTCCATTTCCCACTTCTGGACTTTAGCTATGCGCTATATCCGTGGCTTCCAAAAACAAGTTACACTGTTTGCAGATGGTGAAAAAAAATCCATACTAACTAGGCTTATTTAAAAAGAGACACAAGACTCATCTCAATGTTAGAGCTTTAGGATAACAGCCAACGGGGCAATTGTCAGCTTTAATTTGAACTACTGCTATGAAGAGTATTGAAGTCGACTAGAGGATTGTAGCTAGGTCTGAGTAGACGGCATCTTGACCAGATATTGACTAACACAAACTGTAAACATGGGTTCAAGAATGCCGTGTTTTCTTTCTATTGTCAGTGAAATAGAAATAATAAAATAACACGATGCATGATGACATTAATATTATAGCCAAACATTGAGAATCCATACCCGTGTGTTATTTTATTTAATTATACACTTTATTATTTTACTCTGTAGATAATCCATACCAGACTATTCTATCATTCTATCAGCAACCATTCGTTTTCACTGTCACCTTTTTGTGTTGAATGGTGAAAGATTATGGAAGGTATTGTATAGGACAACAAGATCTATGTTTTAACACAACTTACTAAACTAATTTGCTACACACCTTGATTAATGACTCGTCCTGGTTCTCCAGCGTCACCTGTAGGAGAGAATCGTTTTATCAATACTTGAGCATCAATGGGCAAAAACATTATTTGTAAGTATTTGAGAGGGAACTAAAATTATCCAAACATACAGAAGGACACGTGGTAATTAGAACCTCAATAACCTAACTGCATTAGATACATCGGATTCACATTGACACAATTGTGTTGATACAGAAGCCAGAGGGCTTTTTAAACAATGTCAATACCTTATATAACAAATAATGGTTTTATGATTGCGATTATGCCTCAGCATCGGTACCTTATAAAATGTGAGTTATATTCCAAATCTTATAAAAGATCAGAAGAGCCCTATATTGTAAGTATCAGTGCAGAGAATAGGATAATTGTGGTTTTATACTTTTTCAAGATAAGCTTAGTTGTTTTAATAATATATTACAGACTCTAATCGCAAATCAAGAATTGCATACAAACGACTGCATACAAAGTAATGATCTACATTACTGAAAAAACAATATCTTACATGGCGAGCCAACTACATTGATGCTTTACTCTACCAGGTCACAGTTTATATAATAAATAAATAAATATAAAAGCTGTATATTTTATAGCATCTTATTTAAATGTACCTTTTGTTCCTCCTCTGCCAGGGGTACCAGGTGGTCCTAAAACAACAAATATTGATATAAGTTTTCAGTAACATCTAGGACTGGTGCAAATATGAATTAGAAAATATGGCGTAAATTGTATTTAATTACTGTGGATTAATTTCCAGTTGCCAAGCTATAGGTGAATTGAAACCTGTCTATGAAAGAAGGGCAAGATGGCTACAATATAAGGACCACAATCTAGATTTTCCCAATGGATAAAATGCTTTACTGTTGAGTACGTTTGTTATTGTCCCATTTCAAGTCTTTTTGTATGGTAAATGTATCAGGGTATGCTATCGCATTCACACAGTTATTCCCTTCAAATGTCCTGATACTACCTATGCTCAGTGTATTTCCTTTTCTTCTAACACGTTCAACAAGATTGTTTGACAAACTTAAAGACAAGGAATACTACTAATAAAATAGCGGATGTCGTTTTTGTAAGCTGGATTATTATCATTGAGCTCTGGATAACAATATGTTACTCTCATCTGGCATTAGTGTATGCTATGCTAATATATGTAATATATTTAAATCTCAGTTAATTTATGAAAAAAAATCCTATTTTTTTCATTTGCGTTACTCTGTTCACAAAGTGGAGATAGAAGGCACCAATTTGAATGAGTACAGGCACAACCTATAGTATATGACATATTGATTGCAATTTGAAGCTTTTTACAAACATTTAACATATGGAATGTGAATGCCTTATTTGTTGTTCGTTTTTTACACTGAGTATGGAGCATTTACCGTGGTATAACATTGCTAATCCAGCATTTGTTCCTGAGAGTCTGATCCCTTATTAACAAATTGATTTTACATTGCTGTTAAAATTCAGATGGAAACGTTTTCTTTGCAGTCCTTAGAGAATATGTTTCCACGGATTTTACACTGTACTAGGTGAGGTCAAAGTACTGTGGCCTCCTGCTGAGTTTAACTGCTTAGAGTAGGACGATTTGTCAAAGTTATATATGGAACAGTAACAGCTAACCTTTGGCATGAAAACTGCATTGAACAACTGGGGGGTTGCTATTAAAGATTTTTTTTTTTTTTTTTTTTAAAAGGGGGTGAAAAAATTTAAAAGAAGGGAAATCAACAATGGACTGTGCCACCACTGTTCCATGGTGATTGCCCTAATCTAAGTTCTTTAGAGCACTTTTTAGAACAGAACTTGTTTATAAATCTCCCCATACGTGTCTCACGATGCTCAGCAAGTCATTTCGCTACTTGAGAATCACAGGAAACATGTTGTGGTGGACATGTCCCCCATCTCTGCTTTGGGAAATACCAATTAGATAATTTATTTTAATCTCAGATTTTCTGGATCTCTTAAATCATTCTGAATAATTACGGTTTCTCCTTCCAGGTTATGTATATATATTTGACATAATGTAAAAACTATAGGCCAACTGGATCTTTTACCTGGTGGTCCTTGAGCTCCAGCAAGGCCTGTAAAAACAGACAAAATAAGTCATTTTTGTAAATTTATGTTGTGGCATAGCAAGGTAAACATTGTGCTAAGCAAATGCAGCTTAAACCAAACCATGCAGTGGATCCCCTTTCATAGTATGAATTATTAAACAACTAAACAGAAAGCATTATGTGGAATTGGATACAACGTTCTTTGTGAGATAAAGTAGTAAGATTAATAATGTATACGGTAAACTTTCACCGACTTAATGTGTTTCACATTCTCAACTTTGGACAGACATGGCTTCCTTCAGACAAGTAATGTTAGTGGCAGACTAATATTGATGACAATAACAACTAATATCATAAAATCCATGTTTCAAAAGGAGCCTTTAACTCTGTTTAAACCATTATCACTTGCAAATCAATTCTTCAATTTAAACAGCTTTGTAGTAAACGATGCAGAACATTCGAAGATAAATATTACTGTCATCGAGACCAGATCAAAATTCAGTTAAAAGAGCTGAATTTCAAATAAATTTGTAATTCTTGTACTAAACGCCGATCTGGCTGAAATTTGATTATTTCAAATGAAATGGCACAGCTCATTCAGTACCATCTGATGTATCCTTCAAAATCAGTCATTCACGCATGTGAATGTGAATCTGATATATAGAATCTACATGTTTCGTCAAACAACGAATTTCAACCCAATTCACTCTGAACAAATCCGGTAGAAGGCAAATTCACAAAATACAGTTTCCTGCACTGAGCACTGAAATCTGTAATTGTTTAAAATAGATGAACTTAAAAAAAATTCTCAAATACATATTTTTCTACTCTATGTTGGCCTATATTTTGCAAATCGGTTGTCAACTTTCTATTTTATTAATGGACCCCAAATTCTATATTGGCATAATAATTCTACATACCTGGGAGGCCAGGATCTCCAGATGATCCTGGTGGCCCTCTTGGTCCTGGCAGTCCCAGAGGTCCTTGCTCACCTTAAATAAAAAAATAAAAAACAACAACATTATACACAAATATTTCCAGACAACTTAGATTGTTGATCTTTACTGAACCCCTTAAAAGGGCACCTGATAATTCCAGATTGCATGGTATGCACACATTTTTCAGAAGCAGGTCAATAGCTCATTGTCCTCTAAGCACTAAGAAATATTTGGCAACTCTAGGTTCAAACAAATTTTATAACTTACCTCTTGGTCCTTGGTGACCATCTGGGCCAGGAGGACCTAAAATGAAAATAGATAATTAGTCACCAAATATATGAACATAATATGAATATATGCACTGTCCTTAGATACAGAATGGACAACCATATGGGCCTTCACAGCATGTAATGATACAAAAGTATGATAGTCAAATACAATGTATCGATCCATCTGATAGGTTCTTTTAGTGTCATGTTTTAATGTAATACGAATATCAATTTAATAGAAGAGCATCTTGTTGGTAGTTTTGTAGTATGCTCTAGAGCAGGGTTAGACAACCTTAAGCACTCCAGATGCTATGGACTACATCTCCCCTAATGCTTTGCCAGCATTATGGCTCTAAGACCATTATGGAAGATGCAGTCTACAACATCTGGATTGCCGAAGATTGCCTAACCCTGCACTAGGGTCTAGATGTTATTACCAAACTTAATTGTGTTATTTTCATTTATTTGGATGTAGGAAATGCTGAGTAGACGAGACTCAAATGTAACTGCAGCTGGAGCTCTAATCTCTTCACGAATCTCAATAGCAACATAACAATGGTTATAAAATAAAGGCACTTAAGGGGAAAAACGATAACAAATAAACCAATGAAATCCGGACCTTAAAAAACTGTCCTCAATCTATTTAATGTTGCTTTATTTATTTTTTTGCAAGACATTTAAGGAATAATGGAGTCAGTGGGTGTATTTTTTTATTCAAAACAATCTCATGCAATGCCAAGGGCACTATATTTTAGGGGCAAAGTCAGAAAGTTTGCCTGACTTTGTTTGGCCTCCATACTAATGGAATGTTTAGGGTTTCCATTTAGGTGTAAGTCAAAGAATACAAATATTGATTTATACTTTGCGGCTCAATTTTTGTTGTTGTTTTTGTTAAAGTGATTTGTGAATAGAAAAATGTATCCTGTTATTGCTCTGTAAGTCTAGTACAACTGTAAACCCGGTGGACGTTCTTTGCTAAAATACCCAAGGTATCTAGATTAGAGTGAGACTACAACTTTGCGATTTACAATTCCACCATGGCTCATTGCTACATTCTACAGAATCGTTCAAACAGGTAGTAAGGCTGCTCAGACAATGGCTTTGTATCGATATCATTTGAAATTGATCAGTGCTTAAATGCACAATTTCTTGCAGTGATGTTTTAGAAAAAATAAATGTCATATAAAATTAAAGTAATCACGATAAAAATGCATGCAGCATAGTGCGTGAATATTGTATGCGGTTTTCCTATGAACATCCTCTGCCAATACAGCCTTTCAAGAAATTAACAATACTCATTCTGAAAAATCCATTAAGTCTCTTTTTTATGCTAAGTCAACAAAGTACTTTCATTAACAGCACCATCTGCTGGGGATATAAATTATTGCAGGGTACAGAAGGAACTTGCCAGGAACCTCTAGACATGGGCTATTCTTGGACTGCTAGCAACACAATGTAATTTTACTCTTTTTATTTTTTTTGTGACAAAGTTAGTTTTGAAACTTAAACTGGTCTAGAGCTCCAAGAAAGGTCTTCAAATATCTATCAAGGATTTCCTTTTCCAGCACCTCGACTCACAGAGTTCTTTTTCCCTGCTTTTGAATCCCTTAGGTTGTATATTCCTTTAATACAGGTCCGGGAATCTATTTCTATACTGATATCGCTCACCTTGTTGTTTACTTGTTTATTTGTTGTTTTTGCTTTTTTATGTTGACCTATTTTAAAATCATGGTTTAAAATTAAGGACTTTTACAGGTTTCCAAGTTTGTGATTAGCTTCCCGTATTTAGTAACAGGTCAGCCTTCAACAAAGCTAGCTGTGAGAAAAATTGTAACAAAACAAGCTTAATCATGGGGGAAACAAAAATCAACACTTGGAAAAAGCCTTTTTAGGCCTTCTGAAGAAAATGACTTATAATGATATTAAAACAGGACACATTTTGTAAATATTTTTAAAAAAGCAGCATAACCTTAGTGCTTTAACATGTTTACTCATTACATACTGTCCAAACATTAGCCTTAATTTAAATACAAAATTTCCATTTCTTGAGATTTCTGCATAGAATTCTAGAATCATATATCAATCATATATCTACTCTCGCCCTTAAATCACTTCTGCTTCCTGGAGTGCTTTATGTGTGTAGTGTGTGTCCTTTTTTCGCCATTTAGATTTCAATTGAAATTGGCACTTTTATTTATTAACCTTGTACCACCCATTGGGTCCTGTCACTTCCCCCTTATCAATCAGACAACAGGTCCTGTTACTTCCTGGCTGTTTAGATCGGGGGAGAATAGGGGATTCTGTGTTTGGACAGCCACAGAAAGTCTGGGCCGAGTAGAAGGATAGAGTTTGCAAAGGCTGCAGACAAGAGATCTGCAGCTTTTACAACTAGTTTTTAGATGTACCCCCAATGAAAACAATGTATAATTAAATATATGCATGTTTTCATTGGTGGTATATCTACCTATATAGCTTTATATTTTATTGTTTGTATTTGGGAAGGGAAGTGTCCCTTTAATTGCACAGATCTGAAGATTTTGGGGTCTCATACCTGCAGATCCTTTGGCACCAGCCTCTCCAGAAGGACCTGGCAATCCTCGTGGACCGAGTTCTCCTGTAAATAAATTTTTTAAAAACATCAATTTAAAGAGAGAGCCAAATTACTATATTATCATTACTACAGCTAAAGCTTAAATTAGTCAATGAGTCCTCAGGACCAGGTTTAAAGGGAGCCTTTAAAAGAACAGTTTCTGGACTCTCTGACTCAAGGGACTCTAAGTCTCAAGTTGTCTGTTCAAAGGTCACGTTTCACCGTATTTCCCCTATTTGGCTTCCCAAGCTGCATATTTTCCCCATTTCATGCCCATTTAATTAGTAAGGGTGTAGGCATCTCCTGATGAACCCATTGTTTACTCTACAGGGCACCAAATGAAGGCCATGTATATATAACTAAGCTACTCAACCCTATAAATCAAGCACCCCAAAACATTGCATTCTCCATAATTCACCCTAACCTTTATTTTATTTACTGACCTGTAAGACCTCTGGATCCCTTTTCACCTTGGTCACCTAAAAGAAATTCAATATTTTTTTTAATTATTATTATGAAAACCACATTTGGTTAAATCAGTATTTGCATGCATCCAGTTCCCTTTGCCATATTAAACAAAAATGAATACAATGGGAGATAAATATACCTTTAACGCCTGGTGGTCCAACAGATCCTTTATCACCTGATATAAAAAAAAAGGGAAATATTTGTTGTGATTTTACATTAAAAAAACATTTTATCAGGTCAAATATTAAAAATCCTAAAATAAAATATTAAAATATTTCATACTATAATCTTATTAAAGAGGTGGTAGAAAAGTGGTGCTCCCATTATTTCCTGTAGGAGACTTGTAAATATCTCAAACCATTGCACATGCAATCTCGCATACAGTCTAACACGTTCTAAGGGAAATATCTGTGCTGTCAAATACTGGAAGCTATCACATGGACCACCTAGCAGTACAACTTACCTTTTGGACCTGGCTGTCCTGCTTCCCCTCTGTATCCCTGAATTCCTGGAATACCTGAAAAAAATACAAATGTAGATTTTATTAGAAATATCACTCACACATTAAAGTAGGTCTACTTTATTACTACAAAAATGATAAACTAATAATCTACATACAGTGGTAAATAATTAAGTTGAATTGACCAAAGTCTTACTCGCAGTGATAAAATAACGTTATTAATAATGGCCCTTATAAAATGATATGTAATATATTATTACACACAGCTTAGTTACTTCGCTAAACCAAGTTATACATTATAAGGTTATAATCTTTCAATGTAGGGTAATAGCTTCGTAATCCAAGGATAAATCTGACTGCCAATCTGTGGTCAAGAAGGAATTTTTTTCCTAGTTTGTTGCAAAATTGGAAGAGCTTCAAAATAGATTTTTTTTGCCTTCTTTTGGATCAACAGCAAAAAACAAATGTGAGGAAGGCTGAACTTAATGGACGCAAGTCTCTTTTCAGCTACGTAACTATGTAATATTTGCATACAGGCAGACAGCGAATCTACAATACTCAATTCTTGCCTATAGGAATATACTAAAATAAGAATATCTTAACTACCTCGGTACAGTCAATATTTGAATTCACACATTTTTTATTACATACCTGCAACACCTTGAGGACCTTGTAGACCCATGGCACCTATAGGTATTATAAAAAGAGCATTAGTTGAGAGTGTGGGTTAATGGTGAAGTTGATACAGTTGCCTTCTTACAATATGGTTGGTACAGCTTTCAAGTATCCTGTTATTTTTGATCCCTAGACTTAGTGAAACCTAATGCACATTAACTACAACACAAATGTACTAATGGATGAGCAAATCGTTGTTGTTTTTTTGCCAATTTCCACTGTTACTGGGTCAATATTACCTCACGTTCCTTCGTGAATTTTGAATTATTAGTCAATTAATGTTACGTGGGAAATGCAATGTCTCGGTAACACAGTGATTAAAACAGCTTAACTCTTTCCCTTCCTACAACATTTTTTGCTTAATATCATTAAAAATTACACATTTACTGTTGACAAATGTAACAATCAATGTCTTTTTCCTCATTGACTGAATAAATACTGCATTAAAAAAAGGAATTAAAGTGGACAGTTACAAAGTAGCTTGTTAGTTTCCTTGTTAGAAAGCTTACTACTCTGCAGAAATGGAGCTCCTGGGTATTATCGCTGTCAATCTGGAACTCTGAACCCTATGCTGAAATCACTTTTAAATTTCACCAAACTTAATCAGTCCATATTTCTCTGAGCTAGATTAAAGTGATTGAGTAGTCACCTGACACAAAAAAACAACGTTATTACCTTTAAGACCCATTGGTCCTGGTTGACCTGCCAATCCTGGTATCCCTGGTTCACCAGGTGTACCTATAAAAACAAAGAAAACAGTCCACTCATTATGAAAAAAACACAAGTAAATACCTAATTACCCATCACCTAAACAATGAACAAATGTGGGATAAAGTTCTAATAGTTGATCAATCACCATGGAAACAATGTTATGTTGAAATGTAGATTTGTCCAATTCTAGAACGCCCCATAATTGATCTTCATACAAATCCCCCAGTGCATTATTTGCTATCCAAATTATAGATGTAGATAGAAAGGTACATGTCCATACCTCTGTCTCCCTTCTCTCCAACACCTGCTGGTCCAGGTTCACCACGAGGTCCTGCTGTGCCATCTCTCCCTCTTTGTCCAGGTGGTCCCTCCAGACCAGCATCACCTATATTTATTTATTTATTTGTTACTGGTATTTATAAAGCGCCAACAGATTCCGCAGCGCTGTACAATTAGTGGAGAACATACAATATACACACACAAATACAAAAGGTAGAGAGGACCCTATAGACATAAGTCATTTAATGGCCAACATCCACACAGTCAGATAAAAACTCTTTATCTATTCGTATGTTTCTAAACGTTCAGTTTACCAAAGTGCATGCCTTTACATTCGTATATGTCCTTTGAAAATTAAAGTGTTTACTAAAGGGATGGGTTTTTTTTGTTGTTTTTTTTTACAATACCACAATAGTGAAAAAGGAGGATGAAAGAACTGTCAAAATAAGAGACATGCAGGCCAGAATACAACATAAAGTAGAATGTATTATAGCGTTAAAAAAGGACATAACAATGTACGTGCAGCCCAGGGCACAAGGGGATGTTAATCCCCAGGAAAAGAAACAGAAAAAAGAAGCAGGAGAAAGGAGCAGAATGCTACCTCTTCCTATGAACAGCTTCCATACTCTATTCAGACAAACAAAATGGAGTCTTGGGGGACTAAAGAAAGAGGATTCTTGAGGACAAAATGTACATTGATGTCTATCCTGAATATGGTTTACAGACAATATTCCCATTTTAACAATGGGAAATAAATAGTTTTAGTTGCTCGGCTACAGAGGGTTGAGAATATTTTGAACTGAGCCAAACCAAAAAGTTTTAAGGAAATCAAGTGGAACTCACCAGCAGAGCCTTTCTGTCCCTTTGGACCTTCTGACCCGGTATGTCCAATAAGTCCTGGAGCTCCTGTTAAAATACAAGTGAAAAGACCATGTAATGAAGCCATGTATAAAACAAGATAGGGATTCATTTTACTGGCAAGCGAGTTTATAAGACATATGGTATTGGTAAATATACCCCATAATAAAGAAAGATGTGCACAATAGCATGTTAAAACAAGTATGTGTTCAGCATGTGTGTTTCTATGGATGGGCTCTAGAAACTAAAGTCCAGAATTGTGTGGCTGTACAGTTACAGATCTCGCTTTTAAATCCCAGACTTAAGTATGTTTGCAAGTGATGGGCCCATGCATTTTTGTAGTAATACAGTTCTGGCACAGGAAGATATTGTGGAAGGGTGGTGGGCTATATAGCTGGCTTCAGCAATCAACTGCCCGCAGGAATTAGAAGGCCCACCCCCTGCAGTGGTCAAGCCAGTAATTGCCCATGATAAAATCATAGGGAACTGGCTCACCAAGATGCTAAATAAGACAAGTGTGGCGGGAACTTATTTTTCAGAATAATTTGGCTTTCTAATTTGGTATCCTTAAATATGGCAGTTCCACATAAAGATACCAAATTAGGTCATTATACTGAAGAAAGATCAAAATTAGGAAAAGGGATTTTCTTAAAGGAACTCTATAGTGTTAAGAATACAAAACCGTATTCCTAACATAACAGTTTCCCTCTACGTCCGCGGTGTCCATCCTGGCGACAAACAATTAATAGTTAATAGTCCTTTTCTCACTTTCCCGATTCCAACACTGATATCTCTTGGTGCTAGATTGGGACCCTTCTCCGCTGATGTCACAGCAATTCAGAAACCTATTGCATATGCAAAGCATGAGGACATCCAGCGTCATTGCACAGCATAAAGCTCTGAGAAACTCCAGTAAGCTTCTCTAGGACGAGTTAACCCTGCAATATAATTTTTGCAGTTTCTAAGAAACTGCAATAATTCACTTTGCAGTGTTAATAGGACAGGGGCATTGCACCTAGATCACTTCAAAGGTTGCTGACCCCTGCTCTATGGGATATTAAGGGTATAGTGGTAGCTGTGGGGTGGCTTTGTAGCATATCTGAGAATGGACTGACTGTGAGGGGTATTGTGGAAGAAGGACTGAGGCTGTTTGGCAGATGGTGTGGCTGGTACTGTCAATGGTCACCACTCAAGGTTGTGCTACCATTATTGTATTTGACTGAAGCCTCCGATATTTCTGCAGTCTTGCAATGCTCTCTTATTTCAATGATCTCCTTATCAACCTTTAGAAGAGCTCATTAAACATCTATACAAAGTGTAGTGTGTATTATGACTTTTTTATGTCTTTATTGTAGAAGATATTACCCTCTACGCATAACCATGATATCACATTAGTGCTTCTATTGCAGTTTATTCTTACCTTGAGGTCCTGGAAAGCCTCGTTCACCTGGTGAAGTAAAATGTTGCATATTAGTGATCAAATACTTTGAAATCCCATTAATTTTCTAATTTATTCGTAAAGGTATCTGCATGATGTTTGGCAATTGAAAGGACATGAACACCGAAAGAGAGGTTGGAATCAAACAGAACCCAGGGCAGACAGCAAATGAGGTAGAGGTGTACTACATTTCCCAGAATGCTCACACAGCCATTAGGTCAGGGCCTTAAGTTGACAAAGCATCAAGGGAAATATATTTGGACAATAGTTGGAGATCTACCTTTTGGCCGTGGTTGCTTGAGGTAACACACTGCCAATGTTAACATTTGCTGTGTTAAACTTATCTACACAGTCAATCAGTTGTTAAGGTGTTTAATGTTATGTCTTGCGAATTTCTCTTTGAAAGTAATATTTCCCACTATGCAAAAAAATTAGGAAATAGGAGGAGAGGAGGATGTGATGGGTTCCAAAAAGTCCCAAATAATGATGCAATAATGGCAAGGTAGCTTGAAATCTGTTTTAAAAGGGTATTTAAAAAAAACAAAACACATTTAACTAAACCAATAGCTAATGGTATTTACAAAAATCTAATTAGCTCCTTTACCCTTAACCCTGTGTATCCCATTGTAACTCATATCACTAACCTTGGTCTCCTTTAATTCCCATTTCACCTGAACAAAGGAAAGAAAATAGCTCACATCAGGAATCATTACACGATTATTCACAGTTGTAAAATATTTTGACAGTTTGTAAATAAATGTTATTCATCTCATGGGAAAAGAAATATGGACAATAATACAAATGTAAATAATTAAACTAAAAAGAGTTACATTGTATTCTGAATTTAATTTGAGCTCAAACAGTGCTTCAGCACCTCCTAGTGGTCTTTATTTGGTACTGTGCATTTTAAATTATCTTCTGCAAGGCATGTGTGCAGGAAGATTAATACATATAATTATCCACTTGTAATTACACCAATTTCCATTTTCTTAAATACTACAGTGAGTCAATACAGAATATGCTAGCCAAATTCTTTACACATTTACAGTATTCATACCTTTCTGTCCAGCTGCACCCTTCTCACCAACAAAGTTTCCTGCCAAAATAAATGAACAAATTTATACTAAGCACACAATAAATGTTAAAACAGAAATAACACATGTCGCCTACTTATAATAGATTTAAATTAAAAAAAACAATACAATGATATTAATGTTTATCTGTTGCTATTATTTCATAATTACTGTTTTTTCTTCATTTTAATTCCTTAAAACCACCCAGCCAGACATTGGTAAATGTATATTGTCTACACTACTGTTGTTTCAAAATAATTAAGGTTATTAATTAGTATAATGAAATTCACCCATGGTAGTATTTATTGTCCTTCTTATTAATAAGATGTTATAATGGCTACAAATATTTGTTTTTCCTCGCTTCTCGGCTTTATTTTCTTTGTACTTTGCGCAAATTCTACTTTACCCAAATATTATCTATAAATACAATAGCACATACATACACTATGTTGAAGAGTTAGAAATTCTCACCTCTTTCGGCCTGTAATCTGTCCTTCACATACTGCCAAATTATTTTAGTTTGGTCGCCAGTATCCTTTTCACTTGTATCTGTACTAACTTGATCAACAGGTAAATTGGAAGAAGATTTTAATGAGGGGAAGTTCTGAGACTGTAAGTATTGAATTGCATCCCTGTTTATTGGGGTACCCCTTTCTAGTGTATCTACTCGAGACTGGAGATTCTTCACATCTTGCCCTAAAAAAGGAAAAATATAAAAATCAATATACATTCTGGATGCAATATTTTATATCAATTACTATAACAATAAATCAATTAAAAAAACATTAGAAAAACAGTGGAACATGCAAACAGTGGCTTGGCAGATCACGCCAGCCAAGGGGAATACAGCAGGCATATCAATACCAATACAATATTTCCTAGCGAGCTACTGACATTATTACCAGTGATAATGTGGTATCTAAATTGACTCTGAACTGGGATGGAATGTTTTGTATTACTTTTTAATGATCTAAAGTTGATACAGGGACCTCAGTTAGACTTCGTGGTCTGGAGTAGAGATGTATGCTTTGATTTGTTTATTTAATTATTTGTATAGGTGTACGAGGGGATAGTCACAGCAGATCTCATGTTCCAATTGGGAAAGATTTAATGGGTTGGCTTGCACAGTGCGTCTTTCATTATTGACCATGAATTAGTGGATGATCTATTACATGACCCCAAAGTTATACAGAAAATGTTTAAGCATTAACGGTTGCAAGAGAACCCTAAAGAGTGAGGTGAAGTCTTCTAGGTAGAAATGAGGAGTAGAAGAAATGAGTGGTGAACTGGAATATTTGACAATATCAATGTATATCATGGGTGACCTAGCATAGCACGCTATAAGTGCCCGATAACAGCTGTTTCTTACATAGAGATATGAGCCCAAAAAGTAGACCAAGGAGGGTCAGCAATCCCAAAAGTAAGCCCAGTGACCACATCCACCATTTGCAGCAGGAACCACAAGGTCCACAAATAACATCAGTGTCTGATCCTCCTCTTCCGCCATCATAATGATCCATTCCAGCTTTCAGTCCGTGTCCGTCAACCCGATGTATCTCTGCATCAAAGGGAAATACAATGAGATTTCTTTATTTTTTAAATGGCCTGCATCCCGTCACCATTTGATACTATGACCAATGTCCAGGATTCGAGATGCCCCGCAGTGTCCATAAATGGGACTGCAAACCAGAACAAACTAATATTCCAATCAGAGCAGTCTAGGTGAAAAACCAATCTGTCTTTATAAGGACCATTGCAGTTAGAAAGTTGCAATATGAAGTGTGCTCAATTAATAAAAAAAAAAATACAGTCTCTATAAATGGACTACCACAGGACCTTTCTAAGAAAATATTCTCACACTTTCAGTCAGAAATGTTGAACGTCAAACATGTAGCAATCAAATAACTGTTAATAATTACCCTCGTAAAATTACACATACTTCATTTCTGAATACTGTCAGTCTCTGTTCTATGTCTGTCTCTCTATCTAACAATTTAATAACGTTGAAGCAAGATGAAAATTCTCTTATGATTGATAGATATATAAACAGACAGACACAGACATCAAATTATTTTATTTGCTCAGCTGTGGTGAAATCAGCATACAAAACAGGAAGCTGTCATGTTCTCCTCTGATGCCACATGCACATATTTATTAACATTTCGGTGAATTTCAGAGTGATGCAGAAACCACCGAATGCTAGACATTCTATTTACTTACCTGCATAGGTGGCTTTGTCTTTTGTTACTTTCAACCCTCCTGAATCAGAAAGAAAAAAACAGTTATTGTCAGTCGTATAATGACTATAACTCATGTATACAATGCTCGGAAGGTGTCCAGCGGCACCGTCTATTACCGTTGGCTTCAGATTTGTAGATAGTGTCGACGCGCGTGGTCATTTGTTTTTCTTTCTTCAATGATTCGTCACCAGCAGAACCTGTAGAAACAATACCTTGTCTGAATATGGAATCATTGACCAGAACTGAATGTCTGCATGTTATATCAATACCATAGAGCCATCCACAGACAGGTAATAATAAGCAGTATGTTCTAAATGGAGAGAAAATATACTGCCAGAGAGTCCTCTATTATACCCGCCCAAATAAAAAATGTTTGTATATCTGCCAATAAAAAAGAAAAACGTTTGTGATACACACCTAAGCTTCCACCACTGGAGGCTGTGAATACTTTGCCGGTGTCTTTAGACATGATTAGCATATCTTCTTTTTTGGAAGGACTCTTCTCTTTCTCTAAAAGCAGGAACTTGTAATCCTTGCTGAGGATTTCTTGCTGAGCAGCTTCATAGTTCTTCTCAGACGTAACTGTAAAAAAAGGATAAAAAAGAATAAATCGCTGAATTTTATGGGCAACCTGACAATACAACCTCAAGGAGCAACAGAATGCGTTTTTTCTTTTTCTTTTTTTTTTTTGCTCTTTATTGCCTTCTTTTTGTGAACTTGTTAAACATGAAGTCACTACGGGAATCTTGTGTAATATTACATATTTTATATGTGAATCTCTTGAGCTGTTATTATATCGTGTTTGTTTAGGGTTTTCCCGTCTCATTTCTATTGTTTTCCTTTTCATTTCTTTTATTAGGTTATAGTTTGAGAATATTGTAGGGAATGAGTAAAAATGGAAAGAGGAACATAATCAAATGAAAAATAATACAATTAAAATGCGATCGCTAGAATTGATTAAAGTGTTGACAATATTTAACACTCACCAGTTGACGAGGTTAGAGGAGCCGTAACAGGAGCGGCATGGTGAGTGGTCTGTGTGACATTTTTCTGCACTCCGTATCCTACAAGAGTAAAAACATTTTATTCAGGAGAATACCTATGTCCATATGGAAGCCAAGCACACTTTCTAATCAGTTACTGGGATTTATTCACAAAATATGAAATTGTGGGGTACAGATAAGGTATAATACTTATTTTAGGCTGAAATTGTGGAGCTGGAATTATGTCTTACTTACTTTTTTTTTCCAATTTGGAACTTTTGGCAAAAAAAATAAATAAATAATGGCAAGCTCTTTATCTGTTCTCCGCAATTCCCACTTTAGTGAATATGTCCCACTGTTTATTAGGAATACATGAAAAACAAACCTGAACTGGTTGTCGCAGCCAGGGTACTACTAAGAGCTCCTGGCCCGGGGCCTGGTCCGGGTCCGTGTCCGGGTCCGTGTCCGGGTCCTGAGAGAGGTGCAAGGTTGTTCTGAACACCAAATACTGTCCATAAAAAGGTGAATTATTAGTTTTTTATTTGGTTGGTGAAACTAGCTTATATTTAACAATAAAATTCCGTACATTTATAATCTACAAACAGTGTAGGGCAGATGTGTAGCTATGTATCATTGAAGCACTTTTTATTATTATTATTTTGTGCATCAAGAAAACCATTGAGATTAAGAAATTGTTAACAAAAACAGATTGCATTTGACATGTTTTATTCCTAAGAATGGAATATGTTTGGACAAATAATAGTGTACAGGGCACATGGGTGGTTAAATCTCTGTGACAATATAGCCATTGCTTATCTACAAAGAGTTGTGCAGAGTGTTCTATTTTAGAACACTAAAATGTAAATAAAGATTATAATGCAGTGAAGGCTCACCTTTGGTACTCCAGCTATTATTTAGGAATATTTATTTATCATGGCTAGCATTGGGCCATGTAACAGCTGTGTAATAGATAAGCCATTACTGCAAAGTGTCTCTTCACTTTAAATTACCCCTTTAACTAACCAACATATATTTGGTCAGACCACATGAAGTTCAAGGAGGCAAATTCTACACAATTTTACAGTTATACACACCTATTTAAATTTATAGGTGAAAAATGCTTTTTAGACGCGGATAACATTGCCTGTCTTAAAATAAGATAAAGTAACTCAAGACCAAAATACATAACAGAGAGTGAAACTTACCTGCAGAGGATGAAGCATATCCTGAATTTAGAGAAGGAGAACTTGGGGCAAGATTATTTGGAAGTCCGAATACTATAGAAGAAATAAAGAAAACATGGAAATAAGAACGCTAGAGCTAAAATTGTATCATACGTTCTAGATCTCACGGTTTAGGTTTATAAATAGCAATTCTGATGCAGAAGTGGGTAAACCCTAAATCCTAAATCATCTGTGGTGCTTGGAGAGCGAAGCTGATTGATTTAAAAAAAAAACCACTAGAGCAAAAAAAAGTGAATTTGTTATACTAGGATTATTTACCTGATCCCGAAGATTGAGCATTTAACATAGATCCTCCAAAGCCCATGTTGTTATGATAGCCACCCATCGATGATCCTGCTGGAAGTGTAGAGGTCCACATGTATGATGGCATGGCAGCATCCAGGATAGCTGTGTCATAAGCTCCTGAAAATAAGAAATAGAACCAAAGAACAGATAAAGCTCTAAAGCAAAAAGCTGCCACCCTCTAGGTACACTCTAAAAACCTATAATAAACATAAATGGAAAAAGAAAGGAAGGTGGAATGAAATCCCACCTAATGGGGGCGCTAAGCACTAGAGAAAATGATAGTCTAATGGAGGACTATAAATGTGAAAGAGTAAATACTCTACGGAGACTTCGAAAAATAGATAGTATAAAAATACAATTTATTTTGCATCACAGTGCAATAAATATATAAAAAGAGGAGTAAATAGTAAAGTGCATAAACATCCAATATAAATATGGTAACAATATACAGTCCTATTATGAGACCTGGGAACAAAAACCCGGCATCAACCACTAAACAAAACAGTAATAGGTATAAAGATGAACTGAACAGCCCTTGGTCGCGACTTCCAGGGCTGAAAAAATACTTGCAAACTCGATCGGTAGTGGTGATATTGTGGTCTCTGGACTTAGATTGGATGATAGATGAGGCTCAACGCGTTTCGTCCCGCTTTGTTCAGGACTTCCTCAGGAGCTGTGTATATCTTCAGTTCTTCCGGAGTCTTCTTTTATCTTCAAATTTTCGCGCTCAATTGAGTCATTGCGCATGCGCAAAAGGACACCGGCTTCCGTCGAGATTGTTGCCGGAACACAACTTCAATGCGCCCGCCTCCAATCACTATCGGGAAATGACCAATGCGCATGCGTAGCCAAATTGATGCGTGTTGAAACTTTATTAGCATCCGAATGGAGAGACACGTTGAAACATATAAGCTACATAAGTAGCAGTTGCATGTGTCAATCTATTCGTAACAATGGATGCTTACAGGCAGAATGATATAACCTAAGCAAGCCACAAACTGAACATATATATAAAAAAATAATCAGATATATATAAAAAAATCTAATAATTAGCTCTAAAAAATAAAATTTAGCAAAAGACTCAAAAAAATATAATTTAAAATTTAAAAATGTTGTATGTGTCAATCAATTATGTGGCAAACCTTACAATCTAGAGTCCAAAGATGGACAGAAATATTATTTCACCATTGGAATATATATAATAGGTGAGAAATCATTCATAATAATCTGAATATCATATCCATAAATTGATAGTTCTATAACACTAGAAAATTATATATTATAAACAGTAGATATCACATAAAAGCTAGAATATCTAGATCTGTATTCAGACCTAGTGGAGTGGAAGATTTCATTTTGTAGATCCATTCGGTCTCTTTTTTGGCTAGTATATATAATATATAATTTTCTAGTGTTATAGAACTATCAATTTATGGATATGATATTCAGATTATTATGAATGATTTCTCACCTATTATATATATTCCAATGGTGAAATAATATTTCTGTCCATCTTTGGACTCTAGATTGTAAGGTTTGCCACATAATTGATTGACACATACAACATTTTTAAATTTTAAATTATATTTTTTTGAGTCTTTTGCTAAATTTTATTTTTTAGAGCTAATTATTAGATTTTTTTATATATATCTGATTATTTTTTTATATATATGTTCAGTTTGTGGCTTGCTTAGGTTATATCATTCTGCCTGTAAGCATCCATTGTTACGAATAGATTGACACATGCAACTGCTACTTATGTAGCTTATATGTTTCAACGTGTCTCTCCATTCGGATGCTAATAAAGTTTCAACACGCATCAATTTGGCTACGCATGCGCATTGGTCATTTCCCGATAGTGATTGGAGGCGGGCGCATTGAAGTTGTGTTCCGGCAACAATCTCGACGGAAGCCGGTGTCCTTTTGCGCATGCGCAATGACTCAATTGAGCGCGAAAATTTGAAGATAAAAGAAGACTCCGGAAGAACTGAAGATATACACAGCTCCTGAGGAAGTCCTGAACAAAGCGGGACGAAACGCGTTGAGCCTCATCTATCATCCAATCTAAGTCCAGAGACCACAATATCACCACTACCGATCGAGTTTGCAAGTATTTTTTCAGCCCTGGAAGTCGCGACCAAGGGCTGTTCAGTTCATCTTTATACCTATTACTGTTTTGTTTAGTGGTTGATGCCGGGTTTTTGTTCCCAGGTCTCATAATAGGACTGTATATTGTTACCATATTTATATTGGATGTTTATGCACTTTACTATTTACTCCTCTTTTTATATATTTATTGCACTGTGATGCAAAATAAATTGTATTTTTATACTATCTATTTTTCGAAGTCTCCGTAGAGTATTTACTCTTTCACATTTATAGTCCTCCATTAGACTATCATTTTCTCTAGTGCTTAGCGCCCCCATTAGGTGGGATTTCATTCCACCTTCCTTTCTTTTTTCATAAGCTCCTGAGCCTAAGATTAAAAATGATGAAACTTCTTTAAAGATCAAATCCACAGGTCTAAGCCTAGTAATTCAACAACTGGTGGAATGTCATCACATCTAAAAACACGAGATGATGCCATCAAGTCTTTCAGCAGAACTTTACCTGATTGGGAGCTTTCTGTTACCATCTTTGTTTCCACAGTGGCTTTTTTAGGAATGGGGAGGGTATTTGTTGGGGATCTGGTGGGGCTGACACTGGTCGATCGCCCTTTCAGCAATTTCTTCACATCGTCAAGTTCTGTCCCTTAAAAAAAAAAGGTAAAAAAGAAGAATGTTCATGATTCAGTATAGACCACAAATAGATATAGTAATATATTTATAAAGAGCATTATTCTCCAAAAGACTAAAGGTGCTAAATCCACATTCCTGGACAATCACACTGGCAGCTAAAAACTCTTGGTATCTGACAACCCAACTCAGTGACACCAATGTATTGATTTCATTTTGTTGGTTACACTTTTTAAACGATTTAATATTTGTGGATGAACTTTTAAAACAATTTAATATTTACAAAAATATATTAAAATCTCAATAGTTTGAACTTTTTTATTTATTGATTTTATTTTTTATATATATATATATGATAGATTTTTGCTATATTAATATTTTGAAAATAATTTTAAAAGTTTATCCAAAACTATAAAACCAGCGGAAAAAAGTAGACAAAAATATTAAAATCGAGGCCTAAAATTGGAAGAATGTTGCTATCACACTAAGGCACTAACTTCACTAAGCATTATTACACTAATTAAGATAATGCACTTAAAGATATAAAACAAAACAAAAAACAAGACATGTTCATCCGATAGAGAGGTCTTCACTTAGACCAAAATATAGCCAGATTTGTGTTAATGCATTTTTTAATTGAGAATTAGATTAAGTTATTTCTTCATATTAGTTTAGCGGAGAATAACAGACTGAAGTGAACATAATAAAGTTCCTAGTGAATCATTTGGAGTCTTATTTAATTATCCTTGGATGTTTTGTGGTCTAATGTAGTATGTGTTAATTTCTTCAATTAAAAATCCAAACAATTCCTATGCCATTAATCGATCTGTTAATTAACGTCACTGTTAGCCAAGTACCATATAAGAATTTTACTAGCAGCTCAATTCCATCACTTACATCTTGTGGAGGGGGATGCGCTTTGGAGTCGAGTACGAATTTCAGTCTCTGTATAATGAAAAAAAACACGATGTATAAAACCATATAAATGTATATAGAAAGCGAGGAGAATGTTGAGAATTATTCAGTGCATGAATATATAAATACTAAAATGTATAGGGAGCGCACACTCCTTATATTTATTCCAGCTGAAGTGGTAGAGGTTAACACAGTAAAGGAGTTTAAGCATGCGTGGGATAGGCATAAGGCTATCGTAACTATAAGATAAGGCCAGGGACTAATGAAAGTCTTTAGAAAATTGAGCAGACTAGATGGGCCGAATGGTTCTTATCGGCCGTCACATTCTATGTTTCTATGTGCGTATTCTCTATGATTTTTTCCTCTCGATTATCGGTGTTCCATTTAGAGCGTCTGGGGCATTTGAGAAATCTGGCAACTCATAAGCAGTTTGCTGATTTATTTAGACTGCCTTGTGGTATTACATACATGTTTCAGCTGCACATTTGCGGCATGCACATCATATTATTATGGAAATACTTGTTGAATTATTTCAAATGAGGTTTCATAACCATAAACCCATTAAACGTTAAAATAAATAAAAAATATTACATAATTTGTAAAGTAAACAGAAATTTGTGGGAAACTAAACATGTATATTCAGTTCCAAACAAACAAGTTGAATAAACATTTGTTTTCCACATTGTTTTTTGTTTGTTTTTTAGCTACAGAACAAAAGAGAATGAGCCAGAATTTTTTAAAAAAAATCTCCAACTGCCTCGAAAACACAATGAAACACTTTGTAATTATCTCATTTAGTGTTAATAATATTGTAAAGCACTGCAGAGTAAGTTTTCACTATATAATTGTTGATAATAATAATAATGATAATAGATACAAAAGTCGACACACTCACCTCTGCTCGGTGTGCGCCCCCTGGTGGATGAAGTTGCTATAAAACAAAACAGATACAAGTGTAAATGATAGGAATTACAGCATAGCCAACATGGAAATATGGGTTGGGTATAGGTTTACTTGTCACTTCCTCTCCTCTACCCTACAGTTGGTTAGTTAACCTCCGTGATGAGTTTTCATCTATCACCTTTCTTCTCCTTCCATCTTTCCTCCTACTTTTAGGACACTGTTTCTACACAAATTATAGTTTATGGATATGTGTCGCCAAACTTTCTGAAAACCCTATATTTCATGAAATATAGCATATAATACAAACATTTTTCAACATAAATATTATACGATGATATTTCAGGTTGCTCACACATTAGTAAAACTGTCAGATTTTGTTAGTACATATCATCAATTCCCCCTGTTAAGAAGTTGGATCATCAATTTTTGCTAGTCTGTCTCCGTGGAAAACTTACCCATTTCTTTTCTAGTGTATTCCGGTGAAGAATTTCCACTAGAACTTCCTAGAAGAACAAAAATATGATATGGTAAATCGTCAGGTTTTAACAGCATACATACATATATATGTTAAATGAAGTAAAGATAAATAATTCTAAAAAAAAAATGCTTAAAAAAAGTAATTATGAATATCATTTTCAAAGCTTTCACTTTGCTTTTTTGTATATTTAAAATCATTTTATTTTATTCAAAAGTGAATAGATCAAATAATTCAATGTACAAATCTATACACAATTTACTGGTTTTCATTCCACTAAGTTCTATTTTCCTCCCCTGACCATTTCTAGCTGTCTGGGTATGAACTGCTTCCATAAGCCAAATTCAATTTAATTCTTACTCATTTTGTATTCTCACTGTCTTTCCAAGTTATCGTATGATCAAAGGAGAAAAAGAAATGAAAGAAGCAGAGTAGACCCAAAATGCATTACTGGCAACGCATTTTGGTGATGCAACATCAACAACACAGACACAGTTTAAAGACATTCAAATTTATAGGAAGCTAATAGATTTATTCACCAAACAGTGAGGAGTACCCACTGCCCACTAAATTAGCTAAGATGGAAATAAAAAGAATTTCACCCAATAGAGCTGCAGATTTTAGTTTTTCAAATCAACTATTCAGGTTCTAGTTCTGCAAGCTCATTGTAAACTCACTGCAACTTGAATGGTGAATAAACACTTAAATGCAAGGGTGTTAAAATCATTGCAATCCATGGAAAGCAAATGTTGAACATGTCAAGGTAGATATCGATACATTATTAGCTTTTGTTGATCCTAAATACATTTTACATATTGTTATGGACTTCTAGAATAGGGGATCGGCATTGCCTATTGTGCAAATATGTGGGAATATTACTCGGTAAACTCAACAATTAGAGCTGTGACCCATTCCTACCTTCATATCCTCCTTGGCGAGAGGTGGAGGCGTAAGTTTTCCTGTCGAAAGTTGAATTTGGGGAAACGGAGAGCGTGGAACCTGAGGACTGAGGGAATCTGGATCCAGATGAACTAATGTTTACTCTTGAACTGCCACCTGTGGCTGAATTGCACCCACAAATGATGTGTTAATACTAAGTATTCTGACCCACAAACGACATAATTGAGAATGAGTTTTATAATAAGTTTTAGATATACATGGCTGAACATGGGTTATTGAGATTGGGAACTCAACTTTTAGCCTGTGATACAGAAGGCTGTGATTATATGAGGAGTCTGATATCAATGTTTTTTGTTTTTTAAATCCCAACATTTACTAAATCTCCTAAACTCAGCACACACTAAAAATATAATCAAAAACAAAGCTGAAAATGTATGCTGCATTTGTGTGCCATTAAGACCAGCGGTATGGTGGCCCAAATAATAAAAAATTTTAATAAAAAAGGGTTTTAAATTATTTTCTACTTAAAAATATAAACTACCCTTTCACAATTGTTGGTTACAAGGCAATATGCATTTTCCAGAATGATAATGAAGATAAAATATTAAGATTTAAAGTTTGGACATTTTTGGCCTCTTGTCACTTTAGGACACCTACCTGACGTGACGTAACTGCTGGTGCTTTGAATCACGCTCTTTTTTTCCATTCCACCCCCTCCACTCTGGTATGAAAGTTTGGAAGCGCTACTGTTCGCCCCTTCTGTTTAGACACAAAATGAAGAGAGGCGACATTCACTAAACTAGCACAGGTCTTCTATCACCTGTTTCTTCAACCCATGGGTCCAGGTGGGTAAGATATTAATTGGCCCAGTGGGCTAAAATACACCCTTCTGAACAACTCAGCATTAAAATCATCATTGACATTGTATCATCTCACCCATAAAGTAATCATTGAATGATAATGTAAGGCATGATGGTCATTTACAGGTCATTAAAGCAAGATTAAAATGGTTTGTTATCTTTAACTGTTAACATTTGCTTTCCAAAGGACACAATAGGTGAGACTGATAAAGGTGTTACTATGCAAAGGTCGAAGAGTGGAATAATCACCATGGAAACCACTGGTAGGCGCTGTTGGTAAAATTCTACGAATTGAACAATCTTGCTAATCCCATTGGTGTCTAGGGTGATGGCCCCACTTTAAGAGCTTTGCACCACATTTCTGTTAATAACACATTTAAACATTCACCATATATTTTCCAATTGTATATACATTTTTTATAATATGAATTAATATTTCTGAAGAAGCAAACACTTCGTCCTTTATTTGTCTTGATGACATGACGTATGATCTTACAGCATGATGACACAAAATACAGGCATTTTATCAATGGCTAAGTAAAAATACCCTTATTTATCCAATAACTCGGGGACGGCCAGTAGACATTTAAAACCAGCGGTGTTTAAGTCAGTATTTTGACAACACGGCACCTTTCGTGAAAGTGTTTATACATTGTCAAACAAGGTAAACAATAAGAATCATTAGAAATATTTGATGTGATATAACATAGCAGTTTTTTATATATCTGATTTATATTTCTGTCACTTAACACACTTTTTTCCCCTTTGATCATAGTTGTGTCCAAAGTGCTCAATTCAGTCTGTTTTGTGTGAAATGGTAAATGAGAGCAAGAATATCTATTAGCATATTTTAAAATTGATAATTCCTTTGATAAACCTTGAAATATTTAAAGGGACACTATAGTCACCAGAACAACTACAGCTTAATGTAGTTGTTCTGGTGGGTATAGTCATTCCCTTCAGGCATTTTCATGCAAACACTGTCTTTTCAGAGAAAAGACAGTGTTTACATTGCCCCCTATGGATACTTCCAGTGACCACTCCTCAGATGGCCACTGGAGGGGCTTCCTGGGGCAGTGCTGCACAGTAGGTAGCACTGCTGTTCAATGTCTCCATGTTCTGCATGGAGAAGCTGAATTTTCCTCGTAGAGATACATTGATTCAATTCATCTCTACGAGGAGATGCTGATTGGCCAAAACGGCATTTGGCTCCGCACCCATCACGCCTCCTTGCTGCTTTCGGCCAATCCAATGCTTTACTGTAGGGATGATGTCACCAAGGAGGTGGATCAGGGGTGGGGCCAGCGCAAGCAGTGGAAATAAGGTATGTTTTAACCCCTTCTAAGGGGGGCAGGGAGGGGGATGCCACCTAAATGGTGGTTTTAACACTATAGGGTCAGAAATACATGACCCTATAATGTTCCCTTAATACATTGTTATCACTAGTCAACAGGGTGGAATTACACAGATTTTGTGTATTCATAGTTATATAAAGTTAACTTACTTGGTGGTAATGACACAAGTCTTGATGAAGATGTTACTGTTTCCGTGAAACCTAGAAGAACAAATAGAAAATACTATTTAGAACACACCTGAATTATGTTCATAAAATTAAAAAATATATATTGTTTTCAGAAACTGTTGGAAATATAGAAAATAAAACAAACTCCGTGCTCCAACAGTGCCGATTAATTTCAAATATATTTTAGATCTAATTTCTGCAAATTATATTCTAAAATATTCTAAAATGTAATATCTCAACTGCACCATTGGTAACACATTGGTCTCTCCTAAATCTAAATTTTTTTCCCCTTACTTTTTGGATCTAATGGCAACAATCCTTAAAAACTTCATGATTATGAAAATCAACAACTTAAAAATAAGTGAAAAGTTTCATAATATCCAAACAAAAAATAGAAAGGTTTTTACTCTTACTTCTTCCAGAGACTTCCCCACCGTAACTTTTTTTAGTTACACTATCCATTCCATAGTCACCTGCAACAAAACAAACATTGTCGTGAATTTCAGAATGAAATGATTTCCAATTGAAAATAAATATTTACAAACAAAATCTAATTAATCACATACAAAACATTCCATGCACTCCGTGTTTTACTTTTGTTTGGTATGTATTCTTATCCAGATTAATGTGTTTTGTCCTCAAAGCCTACCAACGGGTCAGAATAACTTGTCAAGTCAGGGACATCATGAAATTGTGTCTGTTAGTAGGTCTAAGAACATGAAAAACGGATAGAAATACAATCTACCAAATGTTACCAGTTATGGAATAAAATAGCACATTCATTATATCTGTTAATACAAAGTTGTGTATTAAATGCATTATTTATAGCACAATGCATACCCCCACCCCCCTATATCCCCCTATTCTTATTTCTGTATTCCATATTATGTCTTGAAGCTTAGTAAAATCAGTTAGAACACTGATCAGGAGCCTTACATTCCTTGCTTTGCTACAAACAGTCCTTGCGCGCAACAAATAAGACTATTACTGCAGTGAACCCCACTTTACATCTAGATTTATGATTGGAGAGAAACTTAGCAAATTTGCCAAAGGCTCTCAACATCAATGGAAAGAGTAAAAAAAAAAAAAAAAACAAGATTAACAATTATCAAATAAGCTTTCACCACACACTACACGTCTGTAAATAAATACATAAAACAAAAATATGTCTGTCTCAATTTAATCCACGTTATAATTGTGGTATGGCCCACAGCTGATTTGCAAAGGTGCAATTTGATTTCCTCCATCTAACTAGACGGTTAAGTAGAACACAATCAATAGAACTTCTGCTTTCAAGTCTTTACCGAGTAAAAGTATCTCATCTAAAGAAAATAAAACTTGTATAGAGTGAAGGTAGTTTCAGGAATGTATAAGAACTTATACGTTGCCGTTCATACTTCCGGAATGTTCAGTAGCTGGTTTATGAAAATAATACATTATACAAAACTTTTTAAAATAAATTAAATAAGGTCTAGAATCTTAAATTGTCATGTCAATAAAAAGTCATGTCAATTCCTCTATGCATTGTGTATTGGTGAATTTTCACATTTGCTCTGGAGAGTGCTGGGTAACCTTTGGTTCAAATCACATCAATTAAACAGAATCCATAATTGTATCTGTTTATATTTCACAACATGCTTCCAGTCACATGGAATAATTTAATAATTCAAATAGCTACTATTGGGCATGATTTTCTTAAATATACCATTACGGATAACATGGCATCAAGCCATCATGACTCTACTTAACATTATCCCCCCTACAATATAATCTCAACTGATCACTAAAGAGTAAAGAACATTATAGCATGTTTTAATGATAATGACACAAAAGTATTTTATTGAGTGATATAATCCTATAGTATTTGGTACTTTTATGAGAGTGGTCACTAGCTACCTATATAATAATTAGCAAATACAAGTCTCTTTAAGTGATGCCATTTGCAATGAATACAATTACATGTGTACAATAGGGAGGCCTAATAAATAATAAAAAGGATTTATTAGTTCAAAACACAATGACCGTTTTATTATATATTATATGTTATGTGATACATTAACTTTGCTTTAAATCAATAAAGGGATTTTGTGGAAAGGTCAAATTTGACTAAAGTCTTATTTCGACTGCATAAATAATGTAAATATGAACAAATATTATATCCTGACATTTCATCTTATTGATGGTCTCTTTAAGGAGTTATTTTTGTTAAATATAAAAAAAAAGTTTAAGTTACTCATGAGTACTTTAAACATTGCAGAATTTATTTCCAAATCTGGTTTGTCATGACCGGCAGTAACATGTATGAGCTGTGAGGGGGCGCCACCTTTTTAACAAGAATTACAAATTAAATATTCAGGTATCTGAATACCTGCCAGGTGAAATTATTGGGATTCTGCAGCTAAGGATTGTTGGTAACATGTAAATGATCTTGTCAGTGCAGTTACTTTTAACACTATATACTCAGAATTCTTATCTGCACTGTGTACTGAGGAAATCTGTGAACAAAACAAAAACATGTCTGCAAACATTCACTTAATATATAGCAAAACTGAATAAAATACACCAACAATATCACACCAGCTATGAAAGAATTTAAGTAATTTGTACTCACTATAACGGTAATGGGTTATGGTCTATTGTAATTAGTGGCAACATTTTCTAGAAATTGCCAAGTGGCAGTCTTCTGACATTGCATTGTAAGCGGTTTGTTGTGCTGTACAGTACGAAGCTAACACTTTAAGTTACTAAGGCATATTTTGGTTCTTTATCAAACAATAACTAAAAAAAATATCACAGTAGGAAACTCAGTCCTGGACATATGTTAGGAAAACGTGTTAACTTTGGACTTTTTAAATGAAATCTGGGATGGAGGTCAGATACTGAGCATGACCTCCCATTGGTTCTATTAGTGATGGAACTACAATGCATTGATGCAAAGTGGGCTGCAGAGTGTCTAATAATAAATGCAAGGTTTAAATACTAAGCTATTCCAGGACAAAGACGTTTAAATAAGTTTTTTTTTTTTAAATGACCTTAAGGCAGCTCTTTTGGCAAATTGGGAGATCACAGTATCTTGTGACTGCAGTAAAGAGATTTTGAGTTATATAACCTTACCGCATTTCTTTGAAATGAGAACATATTAATCTAACATTGCTAAATACCTCCTTTATCCCAGGGCTTTGCATATTTAGCCAACTTTATTCCTGTACAAACCTGAACTGCATACTTGTATATGGGATCTAGAATATGTGTTTAATGGGCTACAATTTTACTTGCTTGCTAGCAGGAAGGTTGGCTGAGCAAGATAAGTGTAGCTATGTTTTCCAACACCTGGCTATAGAATTTATTTATTCAGCATTAGGATTCTACTTTTTCAGTACATTCTATATAACATGTTAAAAGTTCATAGACAATTCTCTCGCTTGTATTATAAATACGTTTCTATATTAGGTCTACTGCAAACGCTTTCTCCAAAATCCATAATTTTAATCCACACTCAAGATCCCGAATATTAAAATGTGATGGGTAATGTATATACCATTGGTATAGCCCATTAGGGTCAATTAAAGTAACTCATCACGTACTTTACGCCAATCTTTGCCCAAGCAGAAAGATTACGTATATGGCATTAGTGGTTAAAATTAGTAGTTCAGAATTAGGTCTACAAGATTTTATTAAATTCAGTTCCCGAACATACCTCCAACTATTTTTTGGACAGTTCCAATTTACGACCAGAGTCCTGCTATCCCTAGTTATTTCTCCAGCCACTCTTTTGAGAATACTGAAGAAAATCAATAAAAATGTCCAGACAGGACATTCTAAAACAAATAAATTATTATGGCTGCCAATACAAAAATACTTGTCTGTGAATGAGCGACAGTGAGGCAGTCAGCGCATGCATGCTCATGTGACTGCTTGGTTTTCACTTTTTATGAATCATGTCTCCTGCCTCCTGAATTGTATCCTTCAAATGTTAGGAGAGATGTTAAAGTATACATTTTTTTTTAATTAGAGTCTAGGATTTAATGAGTGATGTGATAATCCTACCTTAAAATAAACCTTAACTAAATTTGATTTTAATATAAATTGTCTTAATCTGATCTTTTTTCACAAGCACAGATTCTAAACAGTTTTGTGAGTTTTCTAATTGTATAGGTGAAGACTATGTCAAAATGTTTGCAACATGTGATCATTGGCATGTCTTAGCAGGGCTTAATCTGGCCTTAAACAAGTATATATTGCTTAATGTCTAGACAAAGCATATATAGACAGATACAACATATTAATTTTAGCAAAGGAACACTAAGACATTTTAGCAAGCAGATCAAATCCTTCCCTTGGTTTGCTTCCTCTGTATAGTTGGAAAAAAATATATTTTCTCCAATTTTAATTGCTTGTTATTTTAAATAAAGAATTGCAAATTTTTGGACAAAATATTTAAATGGGGAGAATTTTTAAACTTGGCAATTTTCCGAAAGTATTGCAGTTCACAGCGTACTAAATAGCTCTAAATCAGGAGCCAGATATGTCAAACAAAACCACGGTTATCTTGACGTATCAGTTTTAATATATTTGTGTGAGAAAAAAACACCAAGCATTTCAAAATGTATTTTAAGTACATATATAGCTTGCTGTGAACACCCCACAGGCATTATTCTGGAATGCGAAAACATGTTGAACTCTTCTACAGAGGTATAATGAGAGAAGAACGCTAATCTGTTGGAACATAGGCTTTTCTGGAAAATAAGATAAATTGGTGAGCTAAGTCTTTCTGGCACTGTATTTTTCAGTTTTCACTAGATTTAATAACCTGGATTCGGCACCTGGATTGCTACATTGTAAGCTAGCATCACCATTAGCTGCTCTATCAGTTTGTTCTAGGTTGTTTGGTACGTTTGTGGTATCTGTGTTGGTAGTATATAAAAAAAAAGAATGTTTAAAAAGTTACTCCAAGCATCATAACCACTTCAACCAGTTTTACATCGGTTTGCCATCACACCTGGGTCCCTGCCGGGTACCAAGCTGCAGTAGCCGGATGCCAGTCCCACTGGCCTTTCATTGGTGGAGCTGACCACTTTCAGCCAATGTATGCAACTTTGTGCACAGAAATAGTCAGAATTGACAGTAGCCAGCCCACAAAATGACATGTTGATAATGTTGTCGGAGGTAGAGTTACACCTCTGGCAGCAAAGAGGTTAAACTCTGTAGGTGGAGTGTTTCATAGTGAAAAAAGGTACATACAGACTCCAGACACCATTTAAATCACATCAAGTGGTCATGGTGCTTGGAAACACTTTATATACAAACATAAAAAACAAAACAAATTTACTTACAAAACTATTCATTTTTAATTAATTCTGTTTCGCTATTTATCTGTCCAGAAGTCAGTTGTATCTATTTTTTTTCTAAATCTTAGCCTCATTTCCTGATGAAGGTATTGGCCAAGGTCATATGTAATATAT